AACACACGGGGCACCAGAATTTGTTTGTTCTGCAGATTAGCAACAACAACCTCGTTTCCGGGTTGGCGGCATGGGCTGTGAAGGGAATGGGGGCGGGGGGGGGGCGGGGGTAGAACAACACGCGGGGCACCAGCATTTGTTTGTTCTACCACACTAGCAACAACAACCTTGTTTCCGGGTGGGCGGCGTGGGTTGCGAGGGGGGGCGTGGGAGGCGGGGGGGGAGGGGGAGGTAGAACAACACACGGGGCACCAGAATTTGTTTGTTCTACCAGACTAGAAAAACAACCTCGTTTCCGGGCGGCTGGGTTGCGAGGTGGGGGGGGGGAGATAGAACAACACACGGGGCACCAGAATTTGACCAGACTAGCAGCAACAATCTCGTGTCCGGACGGCGTGGTTGCCGGGACGGGGGGGGGTTAGAACAACACACGGGCCCCCAGAATTTGTTTGTTCTACCAGACTAGCAGCAACAACAGCGTTTCCGGGGAGAGGGGGGGATAAGGGGGGGTGTCAGAACAACAGACGGGGTTGCAGAATTCATTTCTTCATGATTGCTGAAACAATTCCTTCTGGGGACTGGCTTGGAAGGGTCGGCGTGGGCGGCGTGGGTCGTAAGAGGCCGTGCGGGGGGGGGGAGGGTAGAACACCACACACGGGGCACCACAATTTTTTTTCTACCAGACTAGCAACAACAACCTCGTGTCCGGGCGACATGGGTTGCGGGGGGGGGTGGGGGGGTAGAACAACACAGGCTCGGTCAGTCACTTGCAAAGCGAGGATGAGGATAATTTTCACAAAGGCAGGAGCGCTTCTGGCGGCGGCGGTGGTGGCGGTGGCGGCGGCGGTGGCGGGGGGGTGGTGGTGGGGGGTGCAGAGGGGTGCACCTGCCGGCAAGCCACCGACTCGATCCATATTTCCCAAAGCCTGCACTTGTGCTGGCAATTCAAACGTACTGTACTGGGCCTGGGCACAGGAGGCGGACGACGAGCAGGCTGACGCCAAGCCTGCAAAAGCCGCTCGCACTGCTCAGTAAGGTTGGCGAGATGGTAATGGTTTGTATTAACAGCGAGTAGCCGTTGTAGCCGATGGAATGCTCTGGCAGCTTTGATTCGGATCTGGAACTGGACTTGAGCTCCAAGCGCGGGTGTGCAACGTGCACACCGGTCAGAGCGTGCTCGAGCATGCATTCCACGGAAAGTTTGTCGGTTACTTAGATCTTAGCTTGGTCCTTGCAACAGTTGGTCTCGCCGAGTCTTTGCAAGAGGCATCGTCTTGAACTGTCCGTTATGTTTCGGGAGCAACATCTGCATGTATCTGCCTGGCACGGCTCTGCAGCTTAACGAACTCCAGATTTTGCATTCGCAGGCCGAACTCTGTGACTTGTCCCGGGCCTGAGCAAAACTGCCCAGGAGAAGCGCTATCGCCGCAAGACACCGCGGCAGCTGGCGCAGGAAGCCATCTTTGATGCCATGTGGGCCTCTGGCAGCTTGGGCTTTCATGCCTAGTTAATTCCGTTCGGTTTCATCTAGCTCGGCTAAGTCGGCAGGTTTGAATTCGCATCGGGTGGTGCCGGCGGATGAGATTTTGTATGCTTGGGGTAGGAGCGCTGCAATGGCGCTCCATGTCTGTACAACGATTGTGGGAGGTGTGAGCTGGACCGCGGTATAGCTTTTTGGCCACACAGGGTGATGTTGTTCCGGGGTTCTGCCTGCTTGCAGCGCGCAAGCGCATCATCCAAGCACGACAGGGTCGAGCTGTAACATGGGCCCGGATCTCAGACCTCCTGGCAGGCCAGGTGTGTCCAACCCTTTCATCTCTACCCGAAAGGTTGTTTCGATAACTGTCGTCGCTAGGCAATACAACTTCGTTTTCGTTTCCGGCTCGGCTTGCTGCCGGAGAAGCCGCTGCAGCGGAAAACACCCGTGTTGTACGAGGGGGCTGTGTAAGTGTTCTTTCTCAGGCCTCCGGCCCACGGAGACACGCCACTCACCGGAGCTGCGTGAAGCGCGGCGGCGCCAAGTGGAGCTCGAAAGGGAGGCTTACTTCATGATTCAACCAGAAACACCAGGGGTTAGATTTCTTCGAAGTCAAGCAGCAGGATAGGGATTAGAGAAGAAGTCAAGACTTTGCTGGAGGGATGCCCACGGCCGGGGGGATGTCCAGTTTCGGGGGAAGATGGAGTTGCAAGCTTTTGGCATGTAGCAGCGGCTTTGTTCATGGCTTGCGGTTGCCGAATTCTTTTCCCGAATGCTGCCGTTGTAGAAACTTTTGGGCGAACCCGAGCACTGAAGAGATAGTCCTGGGCCTGAGCTCTCGACAGGAGCGTCGAAAGCGCCGTGAAGCAAGACTCAAGGACCGTTGTAAGGGGCACCTGTACGGTGCCAACAGCTGTTCATGTGGTACATTGATCGGTGTTGAGGCTCCCCCCAACACTACTCGAAGTGTACCCATTGATGTTGTACCCGGGAACAGGTTCCGGAAAGCGGTGCCCCACTAATGGAGAGTTTGCCGGTCTTATCAGGGTTCCAAGACAGGTCTGGGGGGACCAACAATCGAAAGGTTGTCCGGCCTGATTTTTCAAGCACGGCTACGATAAATACAAATATTACAACTACAGCTATCGTTACTCCTAAGGGCAACTGTTACGATTCAAAGAGAAACTCACATTACTACTTGGTTAGCCTGTTTCTACCCAGGAGGAGGTCGATGAACAGGGCAACAGGCACCCCGCGGATGAGGAGGAAGCTGTCACTGAGGCAGGCTCTTTGATACCGGCTACCCGCTGGCATACGCTTGGGTATGTTGGCTTGAAGGTTATTTTTTTAGAAGGCCTCCGTCACATTTGCACTATCGACAGCAAGTTTGTAGTAAGTGAGATAAAGAGCCGTGTGAGTAGTTCGATCCCCATGTCCCTGCGGTCCTCTAGGACTTCGCACGTGCCGTCGACAGAAAGGAAGCCCGCTTCCAGAAGCTTGGCCTTCAGGGTTCGTTGTTGCGATACCCGCCACCACCGGACTGATGACATCCATGGATAGCGCTGAGCACGAGCTTAAACCCGGGCCTGTCAACTACTTTCCAGAATCCCCAAAACCCCACCAAGTCGCCCCTCAAGCCCTGGAGAAGAAGCAGAAGGAGGAGAGAGATATAAAAAGTAACCATTTTGGCTCAAGATGCCTACACCGTGGATGTGGAGGACCTGAACTTCGAAGCCTTGACTACTTTCCAACAGTAATGTAATCCCCTAGTCGCCGTAGTGACATAGTGGTTTGGAGCCATCAAGCACGCCTCAGAGAACGTGATACTTCATCCACCGTGCGATCGGGGAGAGTCTCCACATTCGACCTTGCCGAGGTTGTTGAGACACTCCGCTTCAACAGCGCAGGGACCCGGACCTGCCCCAGAGTCTCCTGTACTCCAACCTTGCTGGGTGGGGGAACTCGGGGGTCGGGATGCTCTTTGACGAGAAGCTGGCAAACCACGATGGCAGAAGATGGCAGCTGACTGGTGTGGAAAACGCATCGCAAACCCTCGCGACGCCGAGAACACGGTGGTGGTGACAGGGTGGGATCGTGAAGTCGTACTGAGCGGGCCGTGAAAACGCACACCTTCATGTTCTGAAGAGAGAGCAAGAGCCGACAGTTGTCGTAAGTGGGTTCGGGCTTGTCGAAGGTTGATTGGTGGCTGCTTGCAACGGTCTTCCATCGGCTGTAGTTGCCTCAAATGGAAGGACCCCCCCATTCCTAGTCGCACACTGTTCCGAAATTCGTCTATAGTCAACCTGTTAGTCCGTGTCTACCCGTAGGAACAGCCCTGCCAACCCGTAGGGAACAGGACCTTCTCTCCGAAAGCTCGGAGAACATGTTCCAACCTGAGCACCTGCGCTTTGCTGATTCGGGGTATGTAATATACTTTTCATATACTTTCAGCGCAGCATCCGGCAAGTGATGTTGTTAAGGGAAGGTAAAGGTCTTGCGACCAACCTTCCCATCACAGGCAAGATAATTTGGCTTGTCGGGTCGAACCCAACTCTTCTCCAAGGGAAATGCCTTGTGAACTCAGCCTGTTCTCCATAGCTAACTCGGAGAAAGTTTTCAGTAAACATCTCTTCAGGGCGATGACAGTTGGCTAAAAGCATATGTTCAAAGCTTACCGTCTGCCGTTTTAACCAATACATTATGCCAGACTCTCACAACCCACCCGAAGGTCCGCAACGAGCCGGCGGGCTACTCGACCCTTAGGCCCTTATGCCTGGTGAGAAGAAGAGAGAGAGAGATAGAGAGAGAGAGAGATATGTAGGGGTACTCTAGACTTTCGCCGACATGGTCCCCTTTTCGTCTGCACAGGACTTTCGAACCTTACAGTAGCTGATGCACACAAACCAGAAGGCCCAGGGGAAAGGTTTCTCGGTTTTCATTTTCCATTTCAATCATGTGATGTTTCCACGTGCCTGGGCCTCAGTCGTGAGTGCACCACTCCAGAGGCTGCATCGGGGGGACAACCAGCAAACTTCTCCGTAGTTCCTCTTGATTGCACTTGGTTGCTTCTGCGCTCCTAGAAACACGTCGTTTGCTGGCTCTGGCCTCAGTAGTAGTAGCCTTCACGACCCAACTCAAGGGGG